TGTGCGCAGGCATGTGCTGTGTGCGGGTGTGTAGGCATGTGCTGTGTGCAGCTGTGTGAGGAATGATGCTTCCCTGGTGTCCCACCTGCTCTCTGGTGCCTGTGCTGAGATTTGGCTTGTTAGCCACTTACTTCTCAGCCCCCTTGGGTCCCAGTCCCCCCGCCATTGTTTCCAGGGCCCGTGTCTCTGAGTGCAGTATTCCACTCCCTAGAAAACCTCCAGTGCCTGAATCAGGAGGCTTGGCTGCTTGCTTAGCAATGAGGTATGTGACGTACTCAGCACATCCCGTCACCCTTCAGAAGGTAAAATAGGAGCCAGGGAGTGTGTTGTTGAGTTTGAAATCTGTTAAAAAGTTGGAGACGGTTATTCTAATCTGGCAGTGAAAGTGCTTGTGGGTGCAGGGCGTTGTGGGTGCAGGGCGTTGTGGACACCCAATAGCTGGCAGGAAGATTGGCACTTCGCTGGCACCTGGCAATTTTCTTGGAGTTAGTGGCATCTTAGAGGAATGGGCCTCTGGCTTACAGACCCCGAAGCACCAGTATTAGCTACAGAGGGGACAGGAAGTATCCCTGTACTTTATGGAACTGAACAGTGAGTCCAAGGAATTTTCTAGAACTGGTCTAAGAGGGATCTTTGACATTTTCTTTAAACCTTTACATGGTGCTGAGGCTGTTCCAAAGAATCCTGCCTTATTTTCTGTGCCAGTCAGCAGATGTCAGACCACACACCCAACTGTTTGCACTGCTTACGGAGATTCGAAAGTACACAGCCTGTCTACGAAGGGCATGCAGGTTCCTAAGAGCAATGACAGCAGCCTCGGTTGAAGACCTGCTGCAAAGGCCTGGACCGTTGATATTTAGGTGGTAACTTTGTGTGCCTCTGGTCATAATTGCTGTGGTGGTTGAGGCTGATGTAGGGGGAGGCACGCCAGAGGAGTAAACCAAGGAGTTAAATTTACTGGGATGGATTTAAAGCAGTTGGAGGGGGTGTGTGAAGCTATAGGGCCACACTGGGGAATGACGTGACGTGTGCACAGGATGCTGGGATGCTGAGGGGATTGGTAAGATCACAGACAGCTTGGAAACCAAAGACTGACTTGAAGTGATAGACCACAAGGTTACATGCAAGGGGATGGCCTGCAGGAGAGTAAAGGACAAGCTCTGTGTGTGTGTGTGTGTGTGTGTGTGTGTGTGTGTGTGTGTGTGTTAGTTAGTGGAGGGAAGTGCTCAGCATAGGAAGGTGAAAGTGTTCAAACTCAGGGAGAGGAGGCAGGATTCTGTGCTGGCGAAAGACACACGGGTTTTGTAAAGGTAAAGGAACTTTATCTTGGTGGAAGGTTGAACTCACACTATAATTGCAGAATGTCAACCTCTGTTGAGCTCAATGAAGGAGATTCCTGCCTCCCTTCAAAGCAGGGGCATTGCGAGCTGCATGTGCTTCCCCTGCAGAACTCCCCAGGGAGCTCACATCCCACAGGGGCCTGGGCCTGGGCCTGTTCTCCAATGAGTTGGCCCTAACCCTGTGGGGGCGGGAATCCTCGGTGAAGGTCTGATTTGAAAGAAGTTAGATAGCTGTAGGTCACCATGGAGACAAGAGGGCCTTGTGTGGAGCTGTCCTGATGAAGCCCACCCTACCTCCCACCTCCTGCATGCAGAAACACTGTACAGACACTACTGAGCTCCCGAGCCCTCAGAGTACTGCTGCCCTCCCTATGCTGGTGGCCTTGCGGGTCCCTGGGTCTAAGCTCTGCAGGGCCTTCTGGGTGGCAGGGGTGTTTGGAAGGTTTCTGGCTTCTCAGAGCTCCAACTCCTGGTTAGGAAGCCAGCAAAGAAAACAGACCGGACCCGACGCCCCCCCCTTCCAAGTTCTCATTTCCTGTCCTCTGCCCTGCATTTTGGTTAAGAAAATAGAATGAATTCACACTAGACAAGCTCCTTGTGTAGCTAATGGACTAAGAAGACCAGAAGGACTAGTGTTCTAGTTTCCTGTCTCTTGCTGTGATAAAACACTTTAACCAAAAGTATCTTCAGGGAGAAAGGGGTGTTACAGTCCTGTCCTTGGGGGAAGTCAGGGCAGGAACTCGAGTTGGATCTTGAAGCGGATGCCATGGAAGAACACTGCTGGCTGGCTCACCGGGGCTCAGGCTCAGCTAGCTTTCTTTTATAGCCCAGGACCGACCTAGGGAATGTGCCACCCACAGTGGGCTGGCCTGTCCTACATCAATTAACAGGGAAGACAGTCCTCCACAGACATGCCCTCAAGTCAATCTGATCTAGGAAATTCCTCAATTGAGGCTTCCCTCAGATGACTCTAGGCTGGTTGAAATTGACAGTTAAAGCTAACTAGGACAGCTAAGCACATGTGTGATGATACAAGTTCTTGTAGACTTTACCTATCTAGGAATCCCATACAGACTCCACAGCATCATCTCCACCATGGTTCCTGGTGTTACACTGAGACCCAGTGACTCTTTAGGTGGGGTCAGTGCTGGGATAACCCAGTCTTGTCTCTTGCTGGTGTTGAGGCTGCCTGGCTCTGTCTACCTGCAGGGCGTGTTCTGTCTTCTCTGGGCTCTCCTGCCTTTCTTCAGCACCAGAGTGGTGGCAGCAGCAGGAATGTCTGTCAGTGAATGTATGAGCCCCGAGTGTGTGTGAAAGATGTCTTGAGTGATGTAGACATGTAGGTGGCCATTGTGTCCTCAGGATTAAGTGCATGTGCGCGCACATGTGTTAATGTACATTAGGTCTTTCATGTCACTGAGGGCAACATGGTAAGGGTTGGTGTCTTCTGTGAACAAGAAGTGCCTTCTGAGGTGTGGAGCTCTTCAGCCCGCTCTTAGCTGCAGGCTATAGGAAAGGTGTGGAGAAGTGGTCGCTGCAGTGTCTGTGATGGTTAATGTGCAGGGTCCGTTGTAAGCTCTGTGCTGGGAGCATTCTCTCTCTCTCTCTCTCTCTCTCTCTCTCTCTCTCTCTCTCCCCCCCCCTCCCTTCCTCCTTCCCTCCCTCCTTTATAGACATTTGTATATACATATATGACATCATCGTATTAGAATTTTGGTCTCTTAGTCATGTGACTAGGTAGTAACGTCATGTAAAAGTTGTCAAATCCAGGCCCAGGTCAGACCTGTTCTGCTCCTGTGCTCAGGAGCAGCCCATGCCCCTCCTGACCCAATTCTCTTTTAAGAAGACACACCACTTTGAGTGGCACACATGAGCCTTTGGATCCCCTTTTCCTCTGACTTGGTGGTAGATCTGGGACTGAAGGCGGACAAAGCTGTTTTGTGATGGGCCCTGATTTCCCTGTACCTTTGGGCTGCCCAACACTGGCTACACATTGAAGACTTTTGGTACATGCCTGTAATCCCAGTTACTGGAGAGGCTGAGGCAGGAAGATTGAAGGTTCAAGACTTCCTGAACGACGAAGCTGAGTTCAAGATCAGCCTGGATAACTTAGTAAGACCCTGATCAAAATAAAAGAGATCTAAAGACTGAAAAATAGCTATAGCTCAGTGGTAGAGTGCTTGCCTACTATGTGAGAAATCCGGGGTTCAGTCCTCAGCAACACACACACACACACACACACACACACACACACACACACACACGATATAGTTGCCTGGGCTGTACCCGCAGAGATGCTGCCTGAACTGGTCTGACCTGGGCCTGGGTATTGGACTTGAAAAAGTCTCCCTGCTTGCAAATGTTCAGAAAGCTTGTACCTTGTTCCTCTCCAGACTGTACCTGCCTTCAGGCAGAAGTTGGATTTGGCTTTGGATCTAGGCCATGTGGGATTTCTAGCTCTAGCACCAGACTCTCAGCTTTACAGGGGTACAAGAGGCCCAGAAAGGAGCTGAGCTTCTTTTGGGAGCAACCCCTGCAGCGTGCTGGGAAGAGGAGGCCCGGGCACTGGACATGCACTAGACAGTATGCCCTTCATACCCAGTGTGTGTTCATCTCTAAGGTGAGCGTCCCAAGTACCTTTATTTTAAATTCACAAGATAAGTATTCTAACTGTGGAGATCATAATTTTGTCTCTCTGGGTGAGATGTGCCTTTGATGGGCTGAACACACAGGCAAATGCCATTTCGCATGTGAGAGCATCAGGAAGAAGGCGGGCACGTTCTTGTCTAGGGCCCTTGGCGAAAGAATCACTTACTAGTAGCTCTGGTTTTGTGTGAAACCTAGGAATTAACTTTCAGGCAAGATTTTAATAAAATAACACGACCCTACAGAATAAACTTTTGGAAAAAAAATTTCCCAGCACTTTAATCTCACCTCCCACACAGAGATACCAGAGCGAGAGGGAAAGCGTCTATCTGCTAGCCATTCCCAGGACGTGGCAGGTGCGGTATCAGTGCCCTGAAGTAGACTCTCATGTTGGGTAGCTGTGGGGCCCAGTGCAGTGTGGAGTTTAACCAGACAGGAGCCATGTTTGGGTTTATGTGGGACAGATGAACGAGCTGAAAGACCGGTGCTTGGCCGAGTCCCAGAACCCTGACCCTGTGCTGCACCTGCGAAAACTCCCGTCGGGTGGGAACTGGCTGTGGCCAGCCTGGGACATGCCCTTGCCGACACAGATCTGGCAAAGCAGCCGCCCTCTCTGTGCCGTTTATGTCTGAGACAGCTGCTGTCCCCGTTTTCTTTCCTTGTCTGACCCCTCCGTCTCCTTCCCTTATGTCCCTCCCTTCATATTTCAAACCTCCTGCCTCTTCCGGTTCCACAGAGGCTCTGACTTTTGGGGGTGCTGCTGCTGGGTGACAGCTTCTGTGTCCACACTCATTGTGTCTTAAAGAGGGTTATGTTGACCTCAGAAGTCAACATGGCAGGCACTGGACTTGTGATAATTCTGAAAGAAGCTTTGGAATTTTATGAATGAAAAAGGCTGAGCTCTCAGTGTGAGTTACCCTGTGGGAGAAGAATCTGGGCACATGTGAGTCATGCAGGAAGGAGGGGGCACTTGACTGACTCTAACATGCACTCACTTTACTTTCTTTCCCCCAGCTCCCCCTCCTGTGTGTTACAGCCCCAGCAGTCCTGCGCAGGTTCTAGAAGACGCTGCCTACTTTTACCAAGACTTCCAGCTCTACTCTGGGAGGCATGAAGCGTCAGCTTTGACTTTAGAGGCAAGCGGTGGCCTAAGAGGGAAAGGTGGTAAGTCCTTCAAGGGCACGTGTGTTCGGAACACAGAGGGCCTCACAGCTCTCATCTTTAGTACTTCTGCACGTAGCAACCCCCTACCCCCAGCTGTGATTTCACTTTCTACGCTTTCATTAGCCAAAGTCAGCTGCAGTCTGAAAATTCGAATTGAAAGATACTAGAAATAAGCACTTCATAAGTCTTAAACACCTTTATATTGCCATGATGGTTCTGTTTTATTATTAACTATTGTATTTGTAATTGCAAGGCAGACTTTATCTTGGGAGTGTGTGTGCAAAGAGGCCTTCAAGGCCCTTGGTTTCAGGAATCCCCTGGGGGCCTTGAACGCTTCCCCAAGGATAAAGGAGGAGCTTCTGTCATTCACACTTCTCTCTGTTCTCCATCCTTGCTTAAAAGTCAGCATCTAGGATTAAGAATTGTTTCTACTCAGAGTCTTAGCTTATTCATATTGTACCATGGTATTAAGACTGTTTTGGGCTCGGAAAATTGCCCAGTTGGTGAAGTGCTTGCCATGCAAGCATTAGGACTTGAGTTGGATCCCCAGAGTGTAAAAAAGGTGGGCATGGTGGTACACGCTTGTAATCCCTACACTGGGGAAGTGGAGACAGGTGGATCCCTGGGGCTCCCTGGCCAACCAGGTTAATGATCGAGCCCCAGGTCCCAGTGAGAGAATTTGTCTCAAAACAAAATAAAACAAAGTCTCTCCTCCCAAAGCTCAGAGACCATCACAGAAGAGGGGATGGGGGGAATGTAAGAGCCGGAGGGTGGGGAGGAGTGCTGTGAGCTGCTGTCTTCTGGTCATGACCTGGCCATGGCACTCCTGGACTCACAGCAGCTGTGGTTACCTGCACTAGATCAAGCCAACACGATCAGTCAGCAACCCAGCAGCAGTGTTAACTGGACTCAGTGGGTTACAAAACACTGAGAGGACATGAAGGGAGGAGGGGGACATGTTGGGGTGCCTGGGGGGAGAGAGGGTGGATAGAATCAAGATGCATTCTGTACATGTATGAAATCTCTACATGTATGAAATATCGCTACATGTATGAAATTGCCAAAGAATGAAGAAAAGATAATCTTAAATAAACAAGGTAGATGGCCCTTGAGGAACCACACTGAGGTTTTCTTGTGGCCTCCACATATATTTGCACATGTGAACACATGTGCACGCACACACACACACACACACACACACACACACACAAAGACTGTTATATCTCACCATGTAATTCCCTTTAGGAGAATCATGCAGGAACTTCAAAATTAAATCATCCTGTCTCCAAGTCTTTCTTACTCAAACTCTAAGTCCTCTTCTTACCTTTGCTCAAATCCCTCACTTCCTTTTCTGTCTCTGCTTTCATTGTTTGCTTGTTTGTTTTTGCAAGTAGCTCAGAAGTCGAAAAGAAATTCAAAGCTGTAGTTAGGAAGGGATGTGTTCCTTCCTAACTTCCTGTCTGTGTCTGAGGGCTCTTGAGAGTAGTGAGACCACTGTAGAAAGGAAGGGTCTTCCCATAGGAAAGGTCCCCCCGGAGGAAGGGTCCCCCTAAGGAAGGGTCTCACTGTAGGAAGGTGCCCCCGCAGGAAGTGTCCCCCCCGTAGGAAGTGTCCTCCCCATAGGAAGCATCCCCTGGCTCTTGCTCTGTGCATTGCATTCTCTCTCTCTCTCTTTCTCTCTCTCTCTCTCTCCCCCTTTTCCTGCCACTTGAGACCCCATCCCCCCTTTCTGAGACAGAGTCTTGCTACATGGCCCCAGCTGGCCCCAGGCTCACAGAGACCTGCCCAGAAAGAGGCCTTTCTGCTGAGATTAAAGGCCTGCACCACTGCACCTGGCTGAGACCCATTGTTTTATTATCTATCCACATAAGTGATTTCTATTGCAATTACATTTTTATCTTACTTTATTTACATTTTTATTCTTATTTAAAGATACCTGTTCTAGTAAGCCTTGTGGATCTATTACTCTGAAGATAAATGCTCTGCCCCCTGTAGTCTCATGACTCTACCAGGTAGCAACTGGCTGTAATATAATAGCTTCACAACACAGGCTTGTCAAGTGAATGAGGGGCTGGTAGACTCCGTCCCGGCCTCTCTTTCCTTGGGCTGTTCATTGCTTATTACAATTTTTATTGTTTGTTTTTTATTATTTTGGGCAGTGTCACTGTGTAGCACTGGCTGTCCTGGAACTCACTACGTAACTAGGCTAACCTCAAACTTGAGGCAATCCTCCTGCCTCTGTCTCCTGAGTGCTAGGATTACAGGTGTGCACTGGCACATCTGGCATGAATTCTAGTACAGGAGGAAATGGTAGATACCGAGTGAATTGGAGGGAAGTCAGAAGCAAGGGCGTTTACGGGAGGCCGTTCAACTGGTTAGGATGGCCAGTGCTGGGGAGGCCGAGAGTATGGCAGAAAACTGGAGAGTGCAACAGTGCGGAAACCAGGGCTTGCTTCTGATTCTGCCACCTAAGCGAAAGGTCAAAGTAAGAATGAGAGGACCCACAAGACAGAGGGTGAGGGACTGGGGTGGGTAACAGCTGGGGAGAGGAAGGAGCATTGAGGGTCAAGGCCTGTAAGCGCTGTGTGCTGCCGCTGCAGACAGGAGCTGAAGACAAGGGTAGAAGCTCCGTTGAGTGGGGGCAGAAGAGGCCTCAGCCGGAGCTGGGGACATGCAGACCAGAAGAGGCAGGTGGAGAGAAGGATGCCAGGGAGGGTGGTACTGAAGCAGGAGGATGCTAAACTGGGACGCCGTTTCAAATGGTGAACAGTTAGGTTGAATGCTCTAGAAAGGTTCCAGAGCCAGAAAGCTCTCAGTGGATTTCGTTACTAATCAGAGCAGGGGGTAGAGTGTTTGGAGCATGGGGACAAAGATTCGGGTCACCTTCTGTGCCAGATGCTTCAGTGTCAACTTGACACACCTGGGTTGAGGGAGCCTCAATTGGGGAATTTCCTCCATAGGTCTGGCCTGCGGCCATGTCTGAGGGCATCTTCCTGATTGTTGAGTGATGTGGGAGGGCCCAGCCCACTGTGAGTGGTGTCACCCCTGGGCAGGTGGGCCTGTGTTGTATAAGAAAGCAGGCTGAGCAGGGGCCAGGGGAGCAAGCCAGTAAGCAGCATTCCTCCATGGCCTGTGCTCCAGCTCCTGCCTCTGGGTTCCTGCCCTGAGTTCCTACCTTGGGCTCCCTGATGACCTGTGACCCGGGAGATGTAAGCGTAATAAACCCTTTCCTCCCCAAGTTGGTAGTGGTCAGAGTGTTTTGTCACAGCAATGGAGAGACAAACTAGGACACCTTCTGAGGACAGCTAGGGAAAATGGAGGGTGATAGAGCTCTGTCAGAGGACCACAAGAGGGTGCTTTCTTTATGTTTTGGTATTTTTTTTTTTAACAATAGGAAGACTTGGGTCAGTTTCTTTGACACTGACCAAATTAGGAAAGGGAGGCGTGGAAAGGTGGAGCAGGCCCCTGAGGATCAGGGAAGCGTCTGTCCGAGAGGTGACAGCACATTTGGAACCTGGTCTGTGCATGCTGCTATAATTAGAATGTCAGTTGTTCGTCACTCACAGAGTATGCCTCCTGGGGATGGCAGGCTGATAGCACTTTCCTGTTTGTCTTTCAGTGGAGGACCCTCTCTCTACCTTCCACTCCCCAAACTTCCTGAGGCCCTCAGAGGTGGACATGAGAGGTTCTGAGGATGCGGCAGCTGGAACAGTGTTACAGCGGCTGATCCAGGAACAACTGCGCTATGGCACCCCGACCGAGAACATGAACTTGCTGGCCATTCAGCACCAGGCCACAGGGAGTGCAGGGCCAGCCCACGCCACCAACAACTTTTCTTCCACAGAAACCCTCACTCAAGAAGACCCACAAATGGTCTACCAGTCAGCTCGCCAAGAACCGCAGGGTCAAGAACACCAGGGGGACGGTACGGTGATGGAGAAGCAGGTCCGGTCCACGCAGCCCCAACAGAACAATGAGGAGCTGCCCACCTACGAGGAGGCCAAAGCTCAGTCGCAGTTCTTCAGGGGCCAGCAGCAGCAGCAGCAGCAGCAACAACAACAGCAGCAGCAGCCCCCACAGCAGCAGGGACAGGGGCCTCTGGGCCACAGCTACTACATGGCTGGGGGCACCAGTCAGAAGTCTCGCACTGAAGGGAGGCCCACAGTGAACCGGGCCAACAGTGGACAGGCGCACAAGGATGAGGCCCTGAAAGAACTCAAGCAGGGCCACGTTCGCTCCCTTAGCGAGAGGATCATGCAGCTGTCACTGGAGAGGAATGGGGCTAAGCAACACCTCCCCGGCCCGGGAAATGGGAAGGGCTTCAAAGCTGGAGGGGGACCCTCCCCAGCCCAGCCTGCCTGTAAAGCACTGGACCCTCGTGGTCCTCCACCCGAGTACCCCTTCAAGGCCAAGCCAATGATGTCCCCAGTCAGCAAGAATCAAGACCATGGACTTTACTACAGCGACCAGCACCCTGGAGTTCTGCACGAGATGGTGAAGCCTTACCCGGCACCTCAGCCTGCGAGAACAGAAGTGGCCGTCCTGAGGTACCAGCCGCCCCCGGAGTACGGGGTCACCAGGTGACTATCAGCTCAGCTTTGCAGAACTCAGCTGTGTTTAGTGCTTTGCTCCTTTTGAGGGATGTTGGCTTTTTATCAAAACGTTGATCTTGTCCATAGCATTTCATGAGCCACTTTGGGGCCCAGGTTTGAAGGGAGAAATGAGCAACTGGGAATTTCCTTCATTCTGGGCATGGAACATGGAGAAAGGAGGTTCTGTTCATTGGCCTGAAAGGAGCAGTGTGTGTGTGTGTGTGTGTGTGTGTACGCGTGCACTTGTGCGTATGTGTGTGCATGTGCGTGTTTGTGTGTGCATGTGTGTGTCTGTATGTGTGCGCGCCTGTTTATGTGCATGCTGTTGCATGTGTGTGGGTTCACATACAGATGTGTGGGTACACATGGAAACCAGAGAACAACCTTGAGTGTCCTGAATGCTGTTCCTTGGGTATGATCTACCTTTTTCTCCCCTCCCCCCCAAGACAGGGTCTCTCGTGAACTCACCAAGTTAAGCTAAGCTAGCCGGCTACCGAGCCCAAGGATCTGCCTGTCTCTGCCTTCCCAGCACATGTGTGTGCCACCACATCCAGCGTTAAAACGATTTTATTATTTATTTTTTATTTTACGTGTATGAATGTTTTGCCTGCATGCCTGTAAGTGTGCTCCTATGGTGCGATGCCTGTGGAGGCCAGAAGAGGGTGTCGGATCTCCTGGAACTGGAGTTATGAGTGGTTGTTGGCTGCCGTGTGGGTACTGGGAACTGAGTCTGCGTCCTCTGCAAGGCCTCTTAGCCACTGAGCCACCTTCAGCCCTCACTCCCAGTTGTTTGTACTGGGTTCTGAGGATTGAACTCAGGACCTTGTGCTTGCAGGCAAGCACTTTAACCCCCTGAGCCATCTCCCCAGCCCAAAGGGGTCATTCATTTATTTTGAGATATTTTGTTTATTATTTTTGTTTTATGTGTGTGGGTGTTTTCCTGTATGTATATAAGTGCACCCATGTTGTGCAATGCCTTTGGAGGCCAGAAGAGGGCATCAGATTCCCTGGAACTGGAGTTACAGATGCTTGTTAGCCACCATGTGGGTGCTGTGAACCAACTTGGGTCCTCTGCAAGAACAGCCCATGCTCTGAACCACTGAACCATCTCTCCAGATCCCCAAAGTGGTTTTTCAGTCTCTCTTTATTGTATTAATTGTATTAGTTGATCTTCCTCCCTCCCTCACTTCCTCCCTCCATCCCTCCCTCCCTCCATCCCTCCCTCCCTTTCTTCCTCCCCTGATCCTTTGTTTCTTGACACAGGGTCTCACTATGTAGCCTGTACTGGCCTTGAACTCATGATCCTCTTGCCTCTGCCTCTCAAATACTGGAATTACAAACATGCACCACTGTGCCTGGCCTCATCACAGATTTTTAAGGAAAATGCCCTGGGGGCTAGAGAGATGGCTCAGTGATTAAGAGTGCTTGCTGCCACTTACAGAGGAGTTTGGTTTCCAGGTGGCACCTGTAACTCCAGCTGCAGGGACCGGACTCCCTCTTCTGGCCTCTGTGCACACCTGCATACACATGGCATAAACTCAGACCTTACAGCTGGGGTGGCCGGGGCTAGCTGGAAGCATCCTGACCAACAGCTGTTCTTTCATCCTAATTCCCCTTCTGGTGTGTTTCTTCAGATGGATCGATGGATCCCTGGATTCAGCAACACTGAGCATGTCCTCTGTGTAGCCTTGGACCAAGTTCACAGGCATGAATATGGTCCCTGCCCCTGAGGTCCTTGAAGCAGCATCTCTGGGGAAACCAGCAACAGAACACAACACTGCCATTCAGTGTGCTGTTCAGGACAAAGTAGGCAGGATGTGCTACGCTAGCAGTCACTGGAAGGGCTCACAGCCTCAGTGAGAGCTTCCTAGATGATGGGATGCTGACTTGGGCCTCAAAGGTTGAAGGTAGAGGTGATGTGGCAGGAGGTGCTCTGCGGAGGGAGTGCCATCTCCACAGGCAGGAAGACCCCACAATGTGTCTGGAACGAGGGGCAGAGATGCAGAGCCCAGGAGGCGAGGAGTGGAAAGATAGGGCAAAAGACGGGTTTGGATGGGGAAGCTGAGAACAGCGGTGAAGGCCCTGGCCTGCACTCCAAGTTTAGGGTTCATCCGTGAGCAACTGGGAAGTTTGTTTAAGATTTATTTTCATTCATGTTTATATGTGTGTGTCTGTGTGTGTATTACCTCAGATCCTCAGAGCTACAGTTACAGGTGGTTGTAAGCTGCCCCGTGTGGGTTTGGGGAATTAAACTCAGGTCCTGTAGAAGAGCAGTATCTGCTCTTAACTCCAAGCTGTCTCTCCACCCTCCCGTGTGGTGTTTTTAAGCAGGAAGTTGATTAGTGACTGACTGACCAGGGGACTGGGGGCCCACAAGGCCTTTCACGGTTTCGGTATTTCAGAGATGAACTGGTGAGGGCGGTAAAGCTCCAGATGGCAGGAGCAGAGAAACATCGCCTAAGAGGGACAGAGAAATAAACTTGATAGGGTTCAGTGATCGGTTAGACAGCTGCGGAACAGGGTGTGTGTTTGAGGCAGGTGGTCATGGAACCTCAGGAGAGAATGTGGGAGTGGCCACTGATGTTGCTGGGCCTGTGCAGGAAGTGCCCAGACTTGGGAGACAGGTGGCCCTGCCGTAACTGGATGTCATCCTTGGATGTCATCCTCACCCGGTGTTTGTTTCTGAATGGAATGAGTTTGTTTCTCTGGGGGACTCCAGGGCCTAGTGCAGGCACACACCAGGCTGTACACCTTTCGGGAGGGTGCTGACTGACTGGCCACTCACTCCCACTCTGGCACATCTCATACCAGTGGGTGTAACTAGTTATTTTTCTGGTTGCTGTCACCAAGTTCCTGACAGAATGTGACATACAGGACATACAGGAGGAACAATTTTATTTCAGCTCACAGTTTGAGAGGGTAGTGTCTGTTGTGGCTGGGTGGGAAGGACTAGAGGAGTTCATGGGCCAGAAGGCCTGGCTGGAACTCATTCCTTACATCTCTGCAAACCAGGAAGCAAAGAAGGGGAACACCCGCACCCAGCTGATTTTCCTCTTTTCCGTCTGCGAGTCCAGCTAGTGGGATGGTATCACGCACATTCAGGATGAGTTTTTCCTGTTCAGTTAAACTTCTCTGGAAACACCCTCAAAGACGCATCCAAAGGTGTGTCTAGGTGATTCTAATTCTAATCACACTGGCAGTGGAGATGAACCAGATCGCCAGTTCTCAAGCTGTCTGGTCAACTTTGATCTCAGATAAGCAGCAGAATGGGTTTTTCCCAGTGTGGGCTTAACGTGACTCGTGAGGGGGCCTGCAACTCTACTTCCCCTTTATGTCAAAGGGAAACTTCCAACTCAGAAGCTGTCACTGATATTCGTGGCATTGCTCTCCCTCACTTGCATAAAATAATCCACCACTGTGTTTCAGGATTGCAGCATGAGCTTATGACTTCATACTTCATGTCCCAGACATTCCCTTAGCCTCCGGAGAGCCTGCTAAAGGGTGAAGAAAGTCTCTTTCCCTCTCTCTGGCTTTTCTATTTTTTCAATGGCAGCACATAACCTGGACTTGCTTTGTAGTGTTGGCAGTAGCTGTGATGTGGGGTGGGGGGAGTGGTCAGCGGGGAGCCAGGCACTTCCTGGAGGTATCTCTGGTGACTTATAGAGAGCATCATTTGAAGAGAAGTTCCCAGATCAGAAAGAAGAAATGTCGGGGGAATGAGCGCCCTGCCTAGCTTGGCAGCTGGGTTGACATGCCACATTGAGATGTCTGAGGAGACCAAACAGACTGGCCATTGAGGCCAGCCCTAGAGCTCAAAGTCTACCTTGTGAGCCCCGCCGCAGTGAGCTAGACTGGCTCCTGCAGTGCAGCCTTTGGCTGGCTGGGTAAACAAAGTTGTGTCCACACAGCCTGCTCCAGGCACGTTTAGCAGAGCCCGAACCCTGAGAGGTGGACGTGAGACTCAGCGGTGTGCGACTACAGCATTCAACTTATATGTGACTCAAGAGACAAACAAGGCTCCTTCTCACTGCCCTGATCAGCGCTGGCACTTAAGGGATCATCTGTTTGCCGCTAGTGGCGATGGTTTAGGAAGACTGTTGGGTACCTGGACCATGCTCAGTCAACCCCTCTCCGTGCCTGAATCTGCAAGTGACCATGTTTTGTCCTAGCTCATTATTTGAGACCTTTTTTTTTTTTTTTTTTTTTTTTTTTTTTTTTTTAGTTTTGCCTAGAGACAGATCTAAAGAGATAGGTGGTTAACCTGGGAGAGAAATAAGAGTTAGAATTTTTGCCTTCATGTCTAATGCTCAGAATCTTTCACCTGATGTGGAGCAGTAAAGACAGAGTTTCAGGTGGTTGATGGAAAATCCTTTAGATCCCATGTGGGAGCTGCTGGAGCTGCCACTAGTCCAAGCTTCACTGGCTTGCAGCCCCTTACCATGGGTGAGCTCCAGTGGCTGGTGGGGCGGAAATGCGAAGAACAGACCCAAGGACCAGACGTAGCTCCAGGCAAGACACGCTTTCCCCTCAACCCCAAAGTGAAAGTGAGTCAAAGTGAGGACAAGGTGAGAATGGGGCTGCTCCTGTGCAGGGCAGTGACTCCCCCACAAAGCAAACATTTGGATATTAACTCCGACTTGCTGTGGAGACAGAGCATTGCTTCCAGAGCGGCGACTTGGCTTATGTAATGTGTGCTGCTAACAGGAATGAACACATGCAGGAATTCCAGGGGATGGTTGGGTTTTAGCAGAGCAGTTTGGAGTATTTTAGTCAAGATGATTGTTTTCCAAAGAAACCTGTGTTTGAAAAAAATGAAAGCAAGAGCTGCTAAAAAAATTACATATTAATCTTACATTTTCCCAATAAACCACGAGCATTGTAAAATGCAGCTTTTACTAGATAGACTTTCTTTATGTTGAAAATATTTTCTTTCCTTTTTCTTTCTTTTTTTTTTTTTAATTTAGGGAGGGTCTCCCTGTAGCCCCAGC